TCGTCCTTTTGCCCCAGTAACTGACCCGCAAGAAAACAGGATGTGTGACCTCCCTCCAGCAGACATGAGCATGCGTGAGACCGACACCCTTTGCACCGTGAGGTGCCAACAGATCTGCGGGCGCATTTGGAGGAGCTCTCCATAAGTAGCCGCCCGCCGGCACGAGTTCGGTGAGAAATCGGTTGCATTAAGTGGGAAGCAGCCGCCAAGCACAACCAGAGTACCCAGCTAAATAACCCAGGACCCTCAGTTTTGGGGGCCCAGCAAACAATAAAATCTACATTCTATAACTGGGCCTAACTCTAATCGTGCCTAGCAGACCCTTCCCTACGCGTTGCGAAGGCAAGCAAAAGACCTTGGAGATGAAGCTGAAGAGCGCGGGGGACGAGCTCTTGTTGGACTTGGCCAAGAGCTTCGAACTGCGCAGCGCGCGTGCGCCTTCGCACGTTGGTGGCGATTTGGCTGAGGCAGGGAGCAATGTGGCGTGGGCCGTGGTGAAAAGGGCATATTACTTGGGCTGGCTGAGCCGAAACGCGACTTTTCAACTCTTGGAAAATGCTAAGCCGGAGGCATCAACTTCTATTTTCAGGCGTTTCGCTCAGTCAGTGGGATGATGGCGACCCCCATAGGAAATGTGGACAACTATTGTGAAGCTTCCCGCTCATGGAACCACGAACATGCAACGTTTGGTTGCAAGGAAACCCTTCAAGCGCAACATGGGCTGCGGGCTTTGTTTGCTTTCAGAGCTCCGGATCTTCCGTTTTTTTTTTTTTTTTTTTTTGGTTTTTTTTTTTTTTAAAGACGCGAGAGGAGCAGCGCGGTTGGTTGGAGCATGGAGCATCAGTGCGTTGACGCTTCACAACTAATCAATCGACAGCCATTTTGGGCTGTTGATTAATGCCGAGTGTTGGTAATTTCAAACATAGCTTTCTTTTGCTGGGTGATGTCTTAATGGGGGTTGCTGTGGATGGACAAAATCCGCTTCGCGCCAGCAGAGATGCATGAAATCTTATTTAATTCTGGTTGTTAGACCGTCAATCCCAATGGTGCCAAACGGGTTTTGTTCATCAACATACCTGTCTATTTACGGCGAGCACCCCAGGGCAAACCGAGCACACCATGATGAATATTGTTTGGGTGTCACTTTGTTTCAGTTTGAAATTAGTGGATAATTTGCAGCTGCGATTCCAACAACACCTTGCTCATCAAGATAAGCGCAGGTGATACTCCCAACAGCGCATGCATCCCCGGACCCGTGAACTTTCGTGGAACAGTCGCGGAACCCTCCTCGGAATCGCCCCGTGCATCCTCGCAACCCTCGCAGAACCCTCGCAAAACCCTCGCACAAACCCTCGCGGAACCCTGCGGAACCTCACCTCACAGCCCCCGGAGCGTATCTGGGCTGAGACCCAGCGCTTTCAGCTGGGGGAAAAACAACAAAAACCTGGGCCTCACTCCATCCACCCACCAAGCAAGCAACATTTGCCTGCACGGCGAGCCCCGCTTCCAGGAGCTCTGGCCACAGATTTCGGAGTGGCAACTCCGCCACTCCGCCGGTTCCGCCGGTTCCAGCGCCTCCCTGCGGACCATGGCGCGACTGGCGAGGAGCGCTTCGGAGCAACGGGACGGTGTTGCTCCCACAGGGCCAATTCCTCCAGGTGCTCGGTTTCCTTGACGGTGGTTCAAACGGGACCCCTATGTTGGATGCTACCTGTGAGGTCATTCTTGGCAAAGATTTTAGTTTTAGCCTTTTGTCTGGGTGCGGGCAGATCAGGCGCTAGGCGCGGAGAAGAGCGAGCGGGAGGGAGGGTGAGCACAGGGCTTTTGCCATAGACTTCAAGGCAGGGTTCCCCTTTTGGGGAAGGAAGCTACTGACCCCCTTGAACCGGTCACTGTGTTCCGCATTTGCTCATTTAGCAGTGCATTTTTTCAAGAGCACGCCGACCCCAATTTTGAAGAGCCCAATTTGGCTCCAGGTTCAACCAACCCCCATCACGAGCTTCTTTTTAGGGCTTGGTCGCGAAGATGATTGGGTCCTTGAGAGCTTGAGCCACGAACAGATGGCTTTGCTTGAGTGGACTGACTCAACTGCTGCCAGGGATATCGGGGAGCCAACAAAAGGAGAAAACCAAGTCAAAAAGATAGCCCTTGCAGGCAAAGACCAACCTGGTGAACCCGTCTTGGCACCAAAACAGACAACAGTGGCTGCGAAACACATTGTGTTTATTCAGTGGAAAGGAGCTGAGAAGCAATGGAAACCTTTGTGAGTGAATGCGGCCTAAGCACAGGAATCAAATTCAGTCCTGCCAGATGGCCGCTGTTTTCCTTGGTGCCCAGCTATGCATTGCGGATTAGGGATCCCCCTTTTCGCACACCAGCAGGATAAGGTTGGGAAGTAGCATCCCCGCTGTCCTTGTGAAATGGATTGGTGCATCCTCGCGGTGGCTTTGTTTGAGGATTTCGCCAGTGCCCTACCAAGTGATGCCTGAGATGTTTTCTTCTAGACACATGCTCGTCCAGGGTCAACATTTGGTGACCTTGCTTGGGTTTGTCCGGAGAAAAAGAGAGAGAAGGGGAGTTGTTTTTTTCTTTCAAAGCCCCAAAAAGGGGATTCCTTTGATCTTGCCACACGGGTGATTGAATGAGCCACATACTTGCTCACTTTCCCTAAGTGAAAGCACAAGGGGCGGTCCCATTTAAATGCCTCCAGAATGTTACCCGGTTCCGGGTACTCAGGTGTCATCTCCTCAGGCGACAAAGACTTCGCGAGCTTGCGTCCCCAAATCGAAGAGGCAGCGATACGGGTTGAAGCCATCCGGCATGTGGTCTTGATGGAGCGGATGGAGGGGCTTGAGATCGAAGGAATCGGAAGGCGGTTTGATGTTACCCAGGGTGAGGAATCGCTCTGTGCAGCTTTGCGTCGGCAAGGGGGATGATGAATTCAACATGTGTAGGAGTTGTGCCTTCTATGTACTTTCATTTGGAGAATCACACATTCCATCTTCCATCAGGAATGGGGCAATCCCGCAATCGCAATCCCATCAGATCAGGGGGTCAAGCTGTTTGCCCTTCTTTGGCGAGTGTTCTTGGCTTTGGGAGGGCTTGCCTTTGAGGATTCTCGAACTTGCTCTTCGATGCAAAGCACGCGGTTTCACAAATGAAGGCGATTGGTTTGCTCGGATCCCAATTTCAGACCTCTGCTTAGCACTCAAAGTGGATGAGGCAAGAAGACACGATGATCAGACCTGGCGCCTGGCGCCTTGTCCGGGATTTTTGTGGCAAACGAAGCCAGTCACCCGCAAGTTCCGGGCGGTTCGACTGAGTGCTTCAAACTATGCCTGCAGGGCATGAGTGGCGGAACCATCACATATCAATCTCTGGATCTTCATGTCGACCCCCAACAATCAAGAACGCTTATTCAAAGCATTAAATGCTGACATTGTCTAATTCCAGAAACCAATTCTTGTACTTGTCCGTAGTCTTATTCCAGAGGCCTGAGATATCTGAGATAGAGGTGTTTGTTCTTGTCTTATTGCCAATAACCGAAGCCCACAGTTTTACTCAGAGCGATCTCCGGGCATCCCTCCGGGAGAGCGCACCTGCCGCCTGCGAGGCGTGGCGCCGTGCCGAGGCCGATTTTGATTTTCCAGGTTTTTCGGGTTGGGAGTGGACTGGCCTGCGGGCAAATGTCTTGCTTGAACAACAAGAGGGTCAGACCACGTTTAGGGGAACACCAAAATCAATGAGGATGCTTCAGCATGTTGAATCTTTTGGCCCGGCCAGCTTGTTAATTACACAAGCGGCCACTTTTCAACGAGCAGGCTCGAGGCAGCAGACTGTTGTGAATGGCTCGTCGCCCCTAAGACCCTGTGTCCTTTGTTTCGGCCGGCAAAAAGGAAGAGCATCTGTTGGCGTCAATTTCAGGGTGTTTCATTTCTTGGTTTCATGTGTTGGATTCACCAAACATGGGCCCTCCTTTTGGGGCAGATCCCAAAGAGACTGGCCATGGAGGTGCCCGGACCCATCTGCGTATCTGGCGAGCTCTCGGTGCAACACAAACTCACGATGATGAAGGTGTTGCATGCTTTTGTTTCATTGCCTCCTTTCTTTGATCCCCCACTTATGTTTTGACCCCCTCCCTTTTTCAGGGGTCCCCATGCATATTTTGAGACAAATATTTTGTTTCAGCAGCTACCCCTCTACGAGTCAATGGGTTCCCCACGAAATGCAGTCGCATTTTTTCCTAGCGGATGCATCAATGGGTGAATTCCTCCCCACCTGTCTTCCGTTTTTGCAATGCCGAAGACCCACAAATTTCTTGGATTGGAACCCCTGGATTTTTCATGTCCAATGTTGACGGGGGTACTCCCATGCAAAAGGTACAGGGAATTGCCGGCCTCTCTTTTCACTTGGATTAGTTGTAAGTCCTAGGACCCTCTTGCCTCACAGCTGTCATTCGATTGTGTGTGTGTGTGTGTGTCGCGTGGGGTCCTTATGGTTCTCTTTTCGGGTGCTTCAAGCATTGATTGGGCTTGTGGGCATGTGGGTGCGCTGTTTTTTGATGGCACCCATTCCTTGTTCTATGTTCTAATTAAAGGGGAACCAAACAAAAAGAGCCGCATTTTTGGGGCTGCCAATTTTGCAGGGGAGCCAACATAAAGCTGGAATGCCTCTTGCCGGGGAAATGTTCTGCCTCTTGCCGCTCCTATGTGCAGAGTTGGAGCGGTTGGCGCGCAGGCCGGGATGTCATGCGAGGCTCCGGGGAGGGCAGACGCCTCTGATCGCCAAAGAGGTAGGTCAATTGAATTCCATGTCCCCTGTTCTCACTTCCTGAGTTCCGGAACTTTGTGGGCTTTTTGGGAAGACCATTTTAGTGGTAAGCAAAAAACATGGACTTTATTTGGCTTATCAACTCAGGAAGTGAGCGTTGCGTTCTGGAAGTGTCGAATTGTGTTAAGCTTGCTGAAAGGAGGTTCCTCTTCACGGAGACGAAAGCGGGGAGGAGTCCATGTTAATCGACCTTTCTCAAACCAGCCTCTCAACTTGTTCTTTGTTATTTGGTCCGACCTTTGCCCCAACCTTTCGCTTCTGTTTCACCGGCCAGCACCTCTCACTTTGGTGCTACCAATTTACTGTTGGTGCCAGTGGTACCCATTGTGGGCGTAGTGTGTTGGTTGGTACCCAAGCTTAGATACAGGCAACCCTATTACTTGTGTCTACCATATTTGCATATGAAGCGTAAGACATGTTGCAATGTAGGCAGACGTTTCCAATGGATGGTGTGTTTGGGAGCAGCAGATACGCAGTTCCCGGTGTTGTGCACTCGATCTTTTTCGAGAAGACCAATTTGTGCTCCCACGTAGATGTGCACCTTGGCTCCTTCTGGCAGACTCCTTTGCTTTTAGAAACGTGGGCTGCCAGCACATATTTGTTGGGAACATAGATTGAGTCAATGCTGGGGCCACGTCCGTTAGGGAAACTGAGGACAAAAAGGTCAGGCAATCAGGGAACCAAAGAGAGCTTTGCGGCCGTTCGATGTTTGTGCTGCGAAACCGGTTTTGTTTTGGGCCGATTTTGGGCCTGAGCCTGGAGTGCTTGTTATGCTTGAATGGGAGCCAAACCGTTGACCTCCATAGGCAACCAAGAAAACCTTTACGCATCACAAGGCAAATGCTGGCTATCTATAGTGGCTTGCCTGGCATCCACTGGTTTCTGTTTTTGTGTCGGAAGGAACCGGTTTCACGGGAAACCTTAGGGAAATCACACCTTTGAGGCAGTCATTCCGGCCGAAACTCCGTGCGGCGTTCGATCCGCGGATCGTGCGATCCACGCAGGCCTTTGGGGAGGTGCTCTCTGCGGGTGAGGAGCTGGTGGCGGGGTTAGAGCAGCTCTTCAATGACACGCGCAGGACCGGAAATGTGGCCGAGGGGTCTCCTAGTTTTCTTTAGCCTATGTGTTTTTTGCCCAAAGAAGCTTGGTACCTCAAGAAGCCCTTTTTTGAGGTCCAACACCTTCCAATCGAAATCCAAACCCCTCCAACGGAGGGTCCAATGATGCGTGGGGAGGGTGGACCAAGTATGGTTTCTTTTGGTGGGCCAGATGTTTGTTTGGTGTACTCCAGAAATGGGGTCAAGTTTCACGTTACAGGGCAAACTACAACGAGCTTACCCAAACGCAAAGCGCACTCAACCGGCCTGTTTCTTGGGAGTTCCCTATCTCCGGTTTGGGAATTATGGCAATTTGTTTAGCGTTGCTTCTATTTGAACATATGAAATTTTGAGTTCAGGAGTAGTCCCCAAATAATTGTACCTATCCTTCATATTGATTTGAGATCTTTGTCGAGGAACCTTGTATGGTTGCTGATGCACCATCCTGCAACTGCACAAACTCGGGCTCAACAAGTGGCACCCATTCTGTGCCGGCGTTGAGACGAGGTCCCAGCTTCCATTTAATGAACTTCAAAGACGACTCTAAAGACCACAGGTTGGAGGCATGTACTCAAAGCCATATCGATGATTTTAGCACCCCTTTGTTTGATGTTCTTGTTTCATGATAATTTCCCAAGCCTAGCCCAGCTGGGAGATCTTCATTATGGGCCGAATCGTGTTCTTTTAGCCTTGAATAACATGTCATGCCATGCTTTGTCTTATCGGCCGAACCTAAAATGATGCACTGGTAGCCTTGTCCTTTGCTTGTGTCAAACCGAGTTGGGGCCCTAGCTGGCAACTGCAAAAAGAACACCAGCAAGCAAAGACTGGGAGTTCGGGCTCGTTTTGATTCCTGTCTTGATTCAGGCTTTGAACCTTTGCGTTTCGTAATCATCACATTTGTTCGGCTGTTTTGTTTCAAGGCCTTTCACTATTTCAGAGGGTGCTACATGCCCCCGCCTGGGTCAAGCATCAGATTTCAATACGGCTTGTGCGGATCACGTTAGGCCCCCCTAAGAGAACTCAGGTGACACCCCGGGTTTCTATGTGCCATGGATTCCATGGATAAAGGGTTTGGCAGCTGCATGAAATGACCAGGCATTTCGCAGAGCGAGGTCTTTTCCGGGCCGAACCTCTAGGTTCAGGGATTCTCCTTTGTTCCCCGGTAGTTTTGGGGTTTTGGTGGCGAGCTATGGGGAGAAAAGATTCGTTCACCACAAAGACGGGGAACCCAACACCATCAAACACCTTGCTTTTGGCAAACATAGGTGCCATGCTCAAAAGACCCCTCTACTTGTGGTTGATGGCGATGCTTATGCCCCCAAGTAGAATAGATAATTGAGACAATCATTGTAAGGGTTCCTATCAAGGGAGTCATGACTATCACAGAAGGAGTTTTGACCATGGTGCATGGTTGCATTTGTTGGGGGTCATGCTTTGATTTCATGTTGGCCTGAACAGAGTCCACATCAGGTTGCGCCTGTTTGAGCCATCCCAAAAAGTAAGAATTGCGGAGATACTGTGCATGAACGAAATCCTGCACCACCAAGCAAACTCTGGAATGATGATTCCACTTTAAATACCAACAAACATGGTGTCCTATGGTTTCACATTGGTGCAGCATCCTCGCCATGTGCGGGGCAGTGAGTAAACAATCCTCACCTGAATCAGACTTACAACCCCATCTCCAGAACCAGCATTTGGTGGCCTCCCATTTTTGCGCCCAGTTGCCATTTGTCCTTTTTGTTCGGGACACCCACAAAAACGATCAACCCTAGTTTAGGAATGACCAAACCCACAAAAACAAAAGCTATCAACCCCAAAACTCGATCAGCCCCGAAGCAACTAAAACCGATCAACCCCAAAGGCCGATCAAACCCAAAGCAGCCCGAAAAGGTCTTTTGTCGAAGGCCACTGGGCAACTGGGATTTTGGTGGGGTCGAACAGTTCGGACCGCTAATGGTCTCTGCCTGCCATCCATTTTGGCGTGTTGACTAAAGTGATGATGGTAAAGCATATGAACCAACAAAACATATGTTGTTGGCAAACAAATTCCAAGTTTCGGGTTGAAGAAGATTCAATCACGTCGGAGTTCCCTGGTTGAGACAAGCTCAGCGGAACCGCGCGCGCCGTAGGCTGGGAGAGGTGAGCTCCACAGAGATCTCGGAGTTCACGGAGGAGTGGAAGATCAGGCGCGGAAACAACAAAGCGACTCCCTTTTATGAGCATCGGCACCACTCACTTGCCCAAAGCCGACCTTTTGACCTTTCAGTTTCCCTTGGTCCGTTTTTGGGCTGCAAAGATTGACTTCTTCTTCTTCTTCTTTTTGTTCTGGGTCCTTTGTTTTGGCAACTGAGCACATATTTGAGGTCATCCAGGGACCCTGTGGTGGACATCATTTGGGGATTTATGTCCACCAACCACTGCTGAGGGGTTCCCATTTCCAAATTATTTAGCATAGTCCCCTTTACACCCTGAAAGTGCAACCATATCCAAATATACCGATGAGCCACGTGTTTTACGGACCTTCCTTTGGACCTTTCGGTTGGACCCCTCGTAGGGATCCGCAAGCTCGGGACCGGAGGCAGCTGGCTGCCTTGAACACTTTCATGGAGTCGGACGTGGGCCGCCTCATCGAAGGCCCTGCTAAACGGTCGGGTTGATTGACGCGAGCTCACCCAGGAGGATCCTTGTTACATGGTTGTTGTTGGGATGCATTTTACATTTTTGCTTATTGTGGTTTAGTGGGAAATCCCCACTTAGCCAAGGTTAAGGGGTATTGCTGGTGGGTTTCTTCCTTTTCCTCAAGGGCACCGAAATCATGGTTTGCGCTTTGCTGGCGGTCAATGAAGCGTGTCACTTAATGTTGTTGAAAGACGGATGAGAGGGCCCCTAACGCGAGCCGCCGATGAGAGATGAGTTGTGTTTTCTGAATGGGGATGATCCTAAGATGGGTTCCATCATTGAAGTGCGTTCCTGGGCAAGTGATTGAACAGCAAGGGGATCAATTGACTGCTTGTCTATGACGATGCTGGATTTGTATGTATTGCTTCTAGCTTAGGCCTGTTAGGAGTTCAATCGGTAGTTGGACATCTAGTATGGAACCATGCGCACTTGTATTTTGGATTCCCGACATTTGGGTCAGTTTCGCCCAAGGCTTCAACATGCCTTGTTAGTTGGTCAACCCAAGTCAAGGCGATAGGGGGCCAAATTGAATGGCAAAGGGAGTTTGGCGTCATCAAGTAATGTTCCTGATTCAGACCTTGCAAGGGTGCTGGTCTTCAAGGTCAGTGTTTTGTGTTCACATGGAGCCATGCTGGTAGAACCAAAGCCAATGAGTTCGGGCGTACAATTGCCATGGGTCTCCAGAAACCGGATTTGTGGCAGAATTCCTATAGAAGCCTCCATGCCAGGCAGGCACATGGCTTCAGCCAAGGGAACTCATCTCCAAACTCCGCATATTTTTGTCCCAACATCGGGGAACCTCAGGGCCAGTTTTGGTTTCCCTTTAAAGGAAGCCCCAAAAAGGGTACCCTCACTCCACACCCCTTTTGGTACAGAGCTGCACGGGGACTTTCGCCCTTGGTCATTGGGGGCCTTTCTTCCCTAGACCGCAGCCGCAATAGTCACCACCCTCTTTTTGCCAGACCATGTTTGCAGTGGACTAGAAGGGCCTTGACGAGGTTTGCATTGTTAATCCCCGCAATGCCAGCAGAGGGCACGATGAGTTGCGGTCTCCGTGATTCCAGTTGGGCTTCTGCCTATGGATATGTGCGTGTGTGTCTGTGTGTGTCTGTGTGTGTCTGTGTGTGTGTCTGTGTGTCTGTGTGTCTGTGTGTCTGTGTGTCTGTGTGTCTGTGTGTCTGTGTGTCTGTGTGTCTGTGTGTCTGTGTGTCTGTGTGTCTGTGTCTGTGTCTGTGTCTCTGTGTTTGTGTGTGTGTGTCTCTGTGTGTGTGTGTGTGGTGTGTGTGTGTGTGTGGTGTGTGTGTGTGGTGTGTGTGGTGTGTGTGTGTGTGTGTGTGGTGTGTGTGGTGTGTGTGTGTGGTGTGTGTGTGTGTGTGTGTGCGCGTGTGTCTTTTTTGAGGGTACCCATTGGGGTTGCTTCAAAAGAAGCCAAAGGGACACTGTGCGTCTTGGTTCTCTTTGGACACAAATCAACACCAAGGGACAATATACCTTTTGAGCCCATCAAACTCCTCAACAGTTATCCTCAGAGGGTACTTGCATCCTTGGCAACCCCATGTTGGCGACCAGGCACTGGCGATTTCGTCAAGGCCACCGTGTCTGCGGCGCCGACTCCAGACTTCCAACACGTCCGCGCCAAGATCCAGGCACGGCCCGACCGATGGGCCGAACCAGGGCTCTAAGTTTTTGAGCAACCCTCAAGATGAAGTTTAGCCAGGCCACAGCTGCGGACCGCAACATGTACCCTTTCCAAAAAGACTTAAGGTTCCTACTGGGATCAAGCAAGAGTTGGTTAAGCAGCCAGACCCTGGCCACCATTCCAACAGTCTTCAGGGTTAGGCCCTTTTTGTTGCACAGAAGCGGACTCCATGTCCCGCATCGCAAAGCTCCCAAAATGCTCAGGTTGGGAACAAGTTGTTTAAGCAGCCAGACCCTGGCCACCATTCCAACTGTCAATATTTTTGTAGTCAAACCCTAGGTGTTGAAACTTGTTCCAACCATAGGTGTGATGTTTTTGGTGGTTTTGGTCGAAAAATCGATGGCCCTGGTTTGCCTGGTGGTTGAATCTACCAGGGCCATCTACTTCCAACCGAAAAGGACGCCCATTTTGTGCATTTTACCAGAGACTCCATGTGAAGCAAGCAATCACATCTACATTCCATACCTGGGCCTAAGTCGAATCATGCCTAGACCCTTCCCTACGTGTTGCGAAGGCAAGCAAAAGGCCCAGGTGTCGAAACTTTTGCGCTTGGCGCTCCGAAAGCCCCCCGAGGTGCTGCAGGGCACGGAGCTGTTGCTCCAGGAGCTCCAGGGCGCCGAGCTCTCCGAGGCTCCGAGGCCGGAGGTGGGGTCGGAGGGGTCGGAGTTTTTTTTGGGGGCCCATGTAGGTGGGAATTCCATGGCCAGTAACTCTTTTTCAGGGGCTTCCAAATTTTCCCCGGCGCCAAATATGGGATATAGCCTGAACATATAGGAGTTTCTGTGGGATGCGGGGACTGTGCCTGGACAAAATCCACGAAGTGGATGAGCCACTTGCCAATTGGCGCGAAGAGGGTGTTGTCCACAGTATATGGTAGCCTGTGGAGACACCTAATTCGTATGAAGTACCCAGATGCATGAATCCATCTGGCCGTCCAGCACCCGGCTCATCAGTAGGACCATGTCAGTAGCAGTGGGCAACCAGCTTGCAACGTAGTGCATCGTATTGGACCCTGTTCGGTTGCAAGAAGGCGGTGTGCAACCCGAAAACTGCGTGTTTACTCACTCCCCCCCTCGCATTCCAACCTGGGTGGAGCGCCGAATCTTGAAGCGTCCATTTTTCGAAATTCATGTTTAAGGGCCTGCTTTGGCACGCGCCCTTCAGCTCGATCAACGCTGTGATCACTTGGGTTGTTCCCTACAGGGTTTGAGAAGCTGACTTTCAACACGGCGCATCCCAACCCAACCCACGCCCTGCGTGGTGGGTTCACCTCCCCTTCCTCGTTCCAAACGATGAGTACATGCTTATGGGAGGAAACCCATGGCTTCCAGGCCACTTCCCCCGGAAGGGGTTGAGGAGTCGGTCGCTCTGAGACCGACCAGGGGACCCATGGATAAATTCTTCCCGTCCGGGGTGGGTGATGGAGAGGTTGCAGGACATTTTAGACCATCCTGACCTCTGAGCGCTTGTGTTTGACCACTCGTGGCCCAAAGTTCATGGCAAGCATGTCATTTGGTTGAGAACATTTGTCGATTTGGGAGGCTTGTCAGGGAAGTCCAACGAAACTCAGCCATCTTGGGGCTTCCTGCACTTGGACACCAACCCTGTCGAGCTTTCTGCCCAGAGTTTTGACACTCCCCTGAGAGATAGCATCGAACTCAAAGAATGGAGGGGGAGGATCTCCGGAAATGGACCCCTTTCTGAGTTCGATGTCAATTTGTAGGGGAGTAGAGGGGTGTGCAAATTGCTCTGAAGGTGCCTTTTCACCTTGGTTTGAAGGGACACCACAAGGAAAACCCACACATGTTTGGGTTCGCCCCAGTCACTTGACAATATTAACATGTCCACTGTTGGCTTAGTTGGAGGACGAGAAGGGGCGGCCCACTTGACCCACAACAGCCGGTGCAAACTGTACCTGTTGGTTAGGTATGCCAACGGATTCTTACTCCATCTTTTGATTTTCCAACCCTTCAATGGTACCCACCATCCTCCTCATCCATGTATTTATGTTTGCCAAAATAGGGGGACCCCAAAGATGGTGGTTTTTGCCTTGGGTGTCCCTTAAGTCCCACCCCAAGAAGGGTACGTGCCGATTCCGCAGGATCTGCGAGTCTTGGCAGCGGCAGCTCGCAAGCGCGGACGTGGAGCTGGAGCACTGGGTGCAGAGCCGGGTGGAGGCGACCCAAAACGCGGCTTGGAGATCTCAAAGATCCAGACACCCGGTAGTGCCCTTTGTTCTTTAGCTCAACCTGGGATCCTTTTCAAAAAGTTGTTTACAATAAGGTATATTTGGTAGACTTAATAAAACCGTTAGGCTAAGCAAAAGCCCAGCCAGTGGCTTGCTTCCTTTTCCTTCTTTCTCTTTTGCAGCAAAATCCCTTCGATTAAAAGCACAAAATCAAGGGTACTGGTACCATTCTGTACATGCAACTTCATTACGAGCCCCACGCCGTTTGATTGATTCATTGCCCCCCCACCCCCCAAAAAAAAAAAACAACCAATGCTCGTACGTTAGATTGATTCCTTGCCCTCCCCCCCCCCCCCCCTCAAAAAAAAAAAGCTCGTGCGTTAGATTGATTGATTCATTCCCCCCCCCCCCCGCTCCCCCCTCCCCCCCTGCCCCCCCAGAGGGTTCGCCGGGGACAAGATAAAGTCGCACGGCGCCACAGCGAGAGCGCTTCGACACGCACGATCTCCGCAGAGGGTTCGCCGAGGTCAAAACAAATTCGCACGGCGCCACAGCGAGAGCGCTTCGACACGCACGATCTCCGCAGAGGGTTCGCCGAGGTCAAGACAAATTCGCACGGCGCCACAGTGAGAGCGCTTCGACACGCACAATCTCCGCAGAGGGTTCGCCGGGGTCAGGACAAATTCGCACGGCGCCACAGCGAGAGCGCTTCGACACGCACGATCTCCGCATAGGGTTCGCCGAGGTTAAGACAAATTCACACGGCGCCACAGGGAGAGCGCTTCGACACGCACAATCTCCGCAGAGGGTTCGCCGGGGCCAAAACAAATTCGCACGGCGCCACAGCGAGAGCGCTTCGACACGCACAATCTCGCAGAGGGTTCGCCGAGGTCAAGGGGCGCCCAGTTCGACAATTTCGCCGAGGTCAAGACAAATTCGCACGGCGCCACAGTGAGAGCGCTTGGACACGCCACAGCGATCTCCGCAGAGGGTTCGCCGGGTCAAGACAAATTCGCACGGCGCCACAGCGAGAGCGCTTCGACACGCACGATCTCCGCAGAGGGTTCGCCGAGGTCAAGACAAATTCGCACGGCGCCACAGTGAGAGCGCTTCGACACGCACTATCTCCGCAGAGGGTTCGCCGGGGTCAGGACAAATTCGCACGGCGCCACAGCGAGAGCGCTTCGACACGCACGATCTCCGCATAGGGTTCGCCGAGGTTAAGACAAATTCACACGGCGCCACAGTGAGAGCGCTTCGACACGCACAATCTCCGCAGAGGGTTCGCCGGGGCCAAAACAAATTCGCACGGCGCCACAGCGAGAGCGCTTCGACACGCACAATCTTCGCAGAGGGTTCGCCGAGGTCAAGACAAATTCGCACGGCGCCACAGCGAGAGCGCTTCGACACGCACGCTCTCCGCAGAGGGTTCGCCGAGGTCAAGACAAATTCGCACGGCGCCACAGTGAGAGCGCTTGGACACGCACAATCTCCGCAGAGGGTTCGCCGGGGTCAAGACAAAGTCGCACGGCGCCACAGCGAGAGCGCTTCGACACGCACGATCTCCGCATCAATCAATCACTCAATCAATGAATCAATCAATCAATCAATCAATCCAGCAATCAATCAATCAATCAATCAATCAGTCAATCAATCAATGAATCAATCCAGCAACCAACCAATCTCGCACGTTAGATTGATTGATTGATTCATTGCCCCCCCCCCCCCTCCCAAACCTAGGCGTCTGAAGTTTATGATTGGCGGGGAGCGGTGACAAGGTTTTATGTTTTTTTTTTGCAAACGCAAAGGTGCAGAGTTGCCTCCTTGTTCGGCTTGAAGGGGCAATTTGCAATATGTGCATGCACTCTAGACACGTCGAAGGGTGAACAAGTAACCCGTTGCATTTTGAAGTTTGCAGTTTGTTTCCCTTGGAACCGCAAAGCTGAAAGAAGCAAGCGACTTGCGTTTGCACGAATTGCGCGTGAGTTTCTTGTTGGAAAGCGTCCCGCACCGGGCGGGCGAAGTGCTCGCAGAAACCACCCACAACCAGCTGTAACTATTCACAGCCCAGAACAACAAACCATTAACCACCGTAACATATACCTCTGAGTGCCCCCGATAAGTACTTTGACTTGCCTAAGCCATCTGCAACCACACAGGCCAAAAGGTCAATCCGACTGCGCTCAGGGTCTCAGCATGCTGCTGGCTGACGCGACAGCGAAGACACTCAGTCGAACTTCTTCGGCTCAAACAGCACACGCGAAGCCCCACGTGCTGCCCGAGGACACACCGGCTTTACACGTTGCAAACGAGAGTGCCAGCGCTATCGTCCGCGTCGCGAGCGGAAGCGCCCAGGTGGTCGTCGTGTGCTACATACGATGCCTTTCGCAAGCCCTGAAAATGGTCGTAGCCACTATAAACTGTACACATCATGCTCGTATACGAACGACAAGCTTTTGGTTCGCTGCGCGAATTCTTCGCAATGAGGCAAGAGCGCGCGTCATCGCAGTTGAACAAACGCATGCGCTTGGTAGATAGCACGTCCAAGACAAGCGCGCCTCGCCGGACAGGCCTTGCCTCCGTGCGTGCTGTGGACGACTCGCGCAGGTGCCTGGCAGGGTACGGGGTAAATGCAGAGCTGAGCGAACCTTGGATCATGGGCGCGGCGGCCATGTTGCAACAACAGCCGCGCATATTTTTTCCTGTTGCTCGCTGCCAGCTGCTAGTCTTCTACGTTAAGTTGCAGGCGCTGCCCAAAGCAGGTGCCACAGCTGCTGAGGTTGAGGCCCCGCAGGTCCGCGGTCCGTGTTGCGCGATTCCCGGTCTGCGGGTCAGGCACCCAGCCACAGCCAACAGCAACTGCGCCAGGGACTGTGGCGTCCACTCGGTGCACAGTGCCGGTGGCAGCGTTCACAACCACGCGCTCGCAGCCCAGAAAACCACGATCTGCAGCCACTGGCTGCAGTGGCACCGCTGCGACTTCTGCCGGCTGCACTGGCGCCGCTGCAGCCTCAGCACCAGAGGCGTCACAGCACCTCGCTGCTTCTGTTTGCTGGCGCCTTCGCTTTGCTGGAGCAACAGGCTGGCTGCAGGTCTCATCCCCGCATGTAGGCGCAGCGTGTGCCGTGGACGGGGCGCTCTGCCGCCCGCGGTAGGTGTCCCATGCCTGCTGGCACTCGTGCCGGGAATTGTGTTCGTGACTGAAGACAAGCAAGAGCAGCTCATTGTGAACCGGGTGGGCGCTGGACAAGCTGTCCTGCCACTTGGACACAATGTGAAACACTTGCTCTGCGGCCTCGGTGTCAACTCCACGAAGCACAGTATGGGCCTAGCAGCGCACGAGAAAGAACAGCAGCAGGTCAAAGAACAGGTCACTTAGAAAAAACACCGCTTAGTTAAACAACAAGGCCTTGCCATATCCAATCGAGCAGCATAAGGGTTGACATCCGGCAGGAACCACGTAGAGGTAGGGTTTCGACAACCTTTGTGGCCTTGAAAATGGAGCTTATCGATGACCCACCTGAGGCCGGCCATCCTCCGCCATTCAGTCTCCTCCGGCTTCCCAGCACGCTGGCGACATTGCGTGCGCATGTGGCGGACCACTCCGCAAGCAAAGTCGTACACTACCCACGACACGTGGACCATGTACACAAGCACGTGCTGCACAAAGAGCAAGACCTGCGTGATCGACTCCGTGGAGTACGTTGGCCGCAGCCCCAAAATCTGGAGGCAGGGCGAAACCGCTATCAGCATGCCCGCGGACTTGCGGCCAATGCTTGGCTCAGGCGTGCCTCGACGGACATCGGCCCAGCACTCTTCCGCTGGCCTCTGCGCGGAAGCTGTCTTCTTAGGGAGTGAGTTGACCTCGTAGTGGCGCACGGCGCTGACGGGCAGGTCTGCTGCGTGAGCCCAAGCCCCGTCACCAGTGTCGTACTGCAAGACAATCGAATAGCCCCGAACGACTTCACGATGGCTGGAGAGCTGCGGTCCACGGGGTGCTTCTTCGGCTGGAGGCTGGTGCTGCTGGCAATACTTGCTTCCACGCACCGGGCGGGCAGTGCAACCGCTCAAGAAGCCGGTGCGCAAGCTGGAGCTCCACACTAAGCCAGACCCCCGCTCGTTGCACACAGAGAGCTGCAAACTCCATTTGCCATCGACGACAATGACAGGCACTTCGTCAAAAAGCTTACACGAGTGCCGCGCAGCCAAGTCCTGAAATGCCTTCCGAGCACTGTCGAGTAGAGAAACAAAGTCGGTGGCGATGTGATGGGGTCTAAGGAACAGCTCCACTGTGTCAAACCCGGGCAGCGTGGCACGCGCGATCAGCTTCAACGCGCCCCACACCATGACCTTACTCAGTGACCACACAGCACGCCCATCCATCTATAGGAAGAACGCCTTGCTTGGGAGTGTAATTGACATGGATTGCGCGCGTGGGCGCGCGTACGTACCCTTGCCAAAGAAAATGACCGACACGGCAAACAATTGTGAGAACACAAGGCTTTCCGAGACACTCATGAGGAACCTCCGAAGTAGCGGGGGTGAAACAACTGCAGCTGCGCGCTGGCGCGGAATTGCTTGACCTTCGGCCCTTTCCCTGAAGACACGTTCTTGCGACGCTCACACGTTGCTTTCTGAAATGGTCGTAGATAAAGATTGACAACCCTCTGCAATACCAGAAACAAATTGTTCAACACCTCAGCCCAGAAGGTCACGGCCACAGGCCACAAGGCCTTGAACACAAACCCTATAGAAATCTAGCGTGGGCAACTAAGACCGGAACGGCTGCTTCCAAGAATGCGACGAAGTGTTGTCTGGTTGCCATTTGCGTGTCGACCGCAGTGCTCTTCCAAAGAGTCATGTAGATGACGTACAGGGCCGTCCAGCTAACCCCGCCTCGAGCTGCCAAAAGTAGACACCACTGCAGCAGGCTAACCTCCCAGCACATGGATGGGGTTGCAAAGAACCAGCGAGCTCGGCCAAGTTCTTCTGTGCTGCCCT